TCTCAATATTCACATATTGATGCAAAAAAATAAAAAGTTATTGATGTAGTACCCTCATTTCTTGTTGGATTCCTAAAAAACAACATTTATAATGATTGTTAATAATCTTTTAAAATTTTTTTAAGGTCGAATTCGACCGATTCGAGATTTTGGTGGCCATTTTTCCATCGATTTAATCCATTCTTACTGTAGTCCATATATGATTATATACTTCATCCATGACAATTCTATAATTTTTCTTTTGTGTGATGTAAATTTGATAGTTAACATAAGTTCATACAGGGAAAGAACATCTCAATATTCACATATTGATAAAAAAAAATGAAAGTTAATAATGTAGTACCCCCATTTCTTATTAGATTCCTTAAAAACAATATTTATAATGAATTTTAATAATTTGTTTGGATTTTTTTTAAGGCTTAATCCGATCGGTTCGGTCTATCCTCGATCCGGATCACCGATCACCGATCCGGATGAGTTTTTGGGGTGCCCGATCTGAGCCACCGATCCTTTTTTAAACCACTAGTTAGTACTATTTTTTTCTTTTTAATCTCGATTAACCAATAACTTAATGGCTAATATCTAATAAAAGGGTTATTGTTTATAGCAAAAAGCTTAATTTAATTTTAACAATAGACGTTAATACAATAGAGTGAATAGGCAAAAAACATTTGCCCCACATGGAAAGAGGCGTGCAACTTGAGTTATCAAGGGCATGGTGCAAAGCTATATATGGCAAGGCCACCTGGCATAAAAGACAGCAGACATGCAAGAAAATGTCAGCGTTGTCAGTTTGTTCACATGTAACGATGCCAAAAAAGCTAGTGTGCAAAAAAAACCAGGATTTAAAAAAAAAAAATAGAACCGCCTAGTAATATCGATACCCGGTGTTTAAAAAATTGCAGATCCGATCCAAAATCGGACGATCCGGATCGGGTATCGGTGATACCGCTCCAGATCAAGTATCGGTAATACTAAGCAGTTCCATATATTTTTTTTTTTTTGAAATCCGGGTTTTTTTTGCACACCTGACTTTTTTGCCATCGTTACACGCGAAAAAAACTAACAACGCTGACATTTTCTTGCATGTCCTCCGTCTTTTACATCAGGTGGCCTTGCCACATATAGCTTTGCACCATGCCCTTGATAACTCAAGTTGCACGCCTTGTGCCGTGCGTTTGATAAGGTGACTTGTGCCATGTGTTTTATACGGTGAAGTGCTCCTTCATTGTTTCGATGCGGGGCAAATGTTTTTTGCCTATTCACTCAACGTCTATATTTAAAATTAAATTAAGCTTTTTGCTATAAACAATAACCCTGTTATTAGATATTGGTTAATAGAGATTAAAAAGAAAAAAATAGTACTAACTCATAGAATATTAGAACAACAAAAAATAATATTAATACTAGTTTATTGACTATTAAAAAAATTACTAGTTTATGGGACATTTAAAAAAAAAAAAAGAACACTAGCCGAAACCACTTTAAAATCTATTTTAACGTTGCTTTGTCAATTATCCTGCATTGTAAGTATGATAGTTATATATTTTTCTAATTTTATTATAATATAATTACAAATTTACGTTTCTAAATTCTATACTTTTGTAGATTTATTTATTTGTAAGGGTCACACCTTTGTTTATTATTAATAATTTTACATTGATAACCAAATCTTGTATTTTATTTGTTTATTTATTTACATTATAAATTATAGAATGTATTATTTTTATTATAGCTGTAAATAATTTTTTTTTAAAAATTAGATGATATTATAAGACATATTTTAAATTTATTCATACAGGGAAAGAGCATCTCAATATTCGCATATTGATGAAAAAAATGAAAGTTCTTAATGTAGTACCCCAATTTCTTATTGGATTCCTAAAAAGCAACATTTATAATGATTTTTAATAATTTTTTTGGATTTTTTTTAAGGCCTAATCTGACCGATTCCCTATCCGAAACTCCGATTCACCAATCCGGATGGGTTTTTGAGGTGCCCGATCCGGGGCACCGGTCTGTTTTTTAAACCACTAGTTTTACCCATCTATTACATGTCATTATTTGCTATTCCAGCTTCAGTTGTAAAAAATATCAAGAAACTGATGAGGATTTTTCTCTGGAGTGGGTCTTCAGAAAGACACAAATTCCATTGCTGAGGTCAAAGGTATGTCGGCATACAAGCAAAGGAATTTGTGGATTAGAAATATAATGGTGATGCACAAGGATCTTATATGTTGGTAGCATTTTGGTATGCACCTGAACATGTGGAAACAAGTTTTCAAAAGGAATTATGGAATGGATAATTTAGTTCTTGTATATAGGGCCAAAGGGAGGTCTTCAGGGATATGTATTGGAGAAACATTCATCGAGTGAGTGGTTACGCAAGACTGTTGGGAAGTATGGGAGAATATTGGTTTTCACTTGATCTGCAACTGGGGAGTCAGACATTTAAAGAAGAATACTGAGAACCTTCACCCTGGTTCAGAGACCAAACTTGACAGTGGCTGAGGTTGTGGATGACATAGGCCAACAAGCCATATCAATTCCACCACTTTGACAAGCCTCAGTGGAGTAAAAGATTGAAGCATTCAATCATCTATAATTTTAGTCACGCATTTTCTACTTCATGCCTAGGAGAGTATAAGATGGTCTGGGTCCCTGAAAGTACAGGATAATTCTCAGTGAGATCCATGTATAAAGTTCTGACTTGGAGCATAGAAGATATTTCTGCTGTCCATAGAGTGGCATCCTAACCCACCTAAGATGCAGGAGTTTAACCAGCTTGCAAGACATAGCATGTTGACCAAGGACAACTTGGCAAAGATATGTTTTCCAATCCCCAATAATTTCTAGTATTTTAAGCAGAAAGAAGATGCCATAAGGAACCTGTTTTTGCGTTGTCCTTTTGTAACACTTGGGCTTTTGTACTTCATCTCTTTGGTATATCTTGGTGGTGCTGACCTCTGTTGAAGTTCTGTTATTGTGGTGATACTTCCCTCCACTGCCAAAGAGGAGTTGATTCTATGGAGATTGACTCTAGTGGCTGTAACTTCGCTCACTTGGTTGACGAGGATTTCTTTTTTGAAGAAAACTTTTGGTTGAAGTGAAATTATAGATGCTTTAATGACAAAAGAGGAGTAAATTGGTGAAGGAACATATCTGGTCTGCAGGGGTCTCATGGGCTAGAGTTAGAAGGGAGTTTGTATAGTCACAAACTTTGAAAAACAGTTGCATGCAATTGCACACAGTCTAATGAAACTGATAGTTTAGTGAGAGAGTGTCTAAACTTAATTTATGTGGTGACTGCTTGGAAATCTCTAGGTAGTGTCTGTTTGTATATAAAGTCCATTTTATAAAGAAATAAAGAGATCTTGCTTGCGTTACTCAAAGGGATGTGCAAGAGAGGATGCCAGAGTTTAAAAACTTGGTGGGTTTGATTCAAACTTGCCCGAGTCACTTGGAAGTTGGAACCCGCTGCCTACTAATTCTGTATGAGCTAGACTAGGATGATTTGTGTCCATTGAGTGTACTTAAGTCCTTCCAAATCTTCAAAAAATTGGTGAATGTTCTTTAAAAGTATGGTTTTCTACAGACAAGACTCGATGAGTCGACTTGGGATTCACACTGAGAAGTGGCCAAGTCCTGGGGTGAGTCCAAGGTTTAAAATCTGGAGGACAGACCATGGTTGTTAGAAGCGGGCGTGTTCTTGGAAGGTTTCAGGAATCGAAAGTGGCTTTCGTAAGAGGCTAAAAGCTTCATATGGTAGGAATCTCTATTGGTAAAATGCACCTCATGAATCGAGATTCCCACCTTTTGGGAATCGCTCTCCCAGCCACTTGGAGCTGCACAAGTTATTATGAAGGAACATGTTCCATAAGGCAAAAGGTTCGAGGTTCTAGAGCATCTGTAACCAACAATCCCTTAGTATTGGAATTGATGTATTGAGTATGCTTTGCCAGGGTTCCACTAGTATTGAAGTCGAGGTCCTCAACTGCCCTAAACTAGGTTTGCCCTGGTATGGGAATCAACGTATCAAGTCCCCTTAATCACGGTTCCCACAAGTATTGGAATGAAGGTCATCAAGTGCCATTAATTAGAGTTCCTTACATACTAGAGTTAAGGTTTACTGGAATTTCTATATTGAAGAAAGAAAGTAAAATTATTTGATTTATTAAAAATGATATTAAAAGATAAGACATGTATTGGTTTAAGACTTTAGGAATGATCCTAAGTAGAGTTTCTAGACACCCATATTGATGTTAAGTTATATATTAATTAATAATAAATTTTAAAGAATGAATGCTTCATATAATGTTTAAAAGTTTCAAGAATTCCATAAATTTGTTTCAATCATTCTACTAGTAAGGGAATAATGAAGTTTACCTTGTTTCAAATAATACTTAAAATATTTCCGTGCATTCTGTAATTTTTTTTTGCAATTATTCTACCACTAGGGAATAATGAAGCTTACCTTGAACCCTAGACTTGCTAAAGCTTGTTAGCCTGCTCCTCTAGGGAATTCGTGTTTGGATTCCAAATAACTCAGATCAATATTCTTAAAAAGTGGAAGCAAGATTCCGTGTTGATCAAATCACAGTTTGGTGAACCTATGAACCCTGGGAGTTGATGTTGTGGAATCTGGATTCCAAAAAATGTATTCTATGAAGATTCATTGATCGAAGCTCCGAAGCAAGATCGCACACCAAAATCTCCACCTGGGGGAAAGATTCTGGTAACTATGGGATTGATTCTTTTGATTAATGAATTTTTATTAACAAAAAAGTATAGATATGACTTTTTGGTGCCCTTTATCATAAGATATAAACAATAATTGACAGATATTTTTAAGGAGAGAGTTAAGGACTCAGCATGTATGTGAGAGTTTAGAAACAGAGAGAAAGAGAGTGAGTTTAGGAAAAAGGGAGGGAAGATTTTGGATTTTCAGTTATTTTAGGACTGACTATTAATGCTTTTTTTTACAACCATTTTCTTTGCAGGGCAGATCTATTTTCGGAGTCCCAAAGGATTAATTATACCATTCAAACAAGAACCCAAGGTATTCCAGATGCACGGACATATCTATTGACATTGCAGGAGATACGAATCAAGTAGGTACCATGTACTTAAGTTTGTTCTTACGCTTCCCAATTTTATGAGTGCTGCCCTTTTGATAATCTGCTCATTTATGGTGTTTTTAGAACTCCCCTTGTTTTAATGAAATCCTTCTGGTTCTATGTGAATGCATTCTCGATTTTGGTTGACATCCCTGTTACTTGATTGTTACCTTTTTGGTGGTTTATGGAACATTTGAAGTATTGATTAAATCCCTCGATCATTTCAAGTGTTAAAACAATTTGTGTTTAGTTGTATTTGTCCATAAAAAATCATTTTGCAGTTCCTGTGGTGGAAATCTACCTCCACAGCCTGATCTTGCACTGACTAATGGACTACATGACCATAATCAGATGATTTCAGAAGTTGCTTTTACTATTGGGAAAGGTTTCTATACTTCACCTACCATCCAGCCGTCCAATTTTGATCAAGAGAGCCACTCACCAGTTGATCTTAGATCCGACGTCTCAAAGTATTTTATTTTTAGTTTTTTTATACAAAATGTATGAATATGAAATTTAGTACGTGCCATCTTCTCATTGGGGGGCACCTATAAAAAATATTAGAAATAATTTTTCGATAAAATATAATGACCAAAATACCTCTTCAAATTTTCAGGGGTATTTTGGTCATTTTATTTTATTGGAAATATTTTTTTAATATTTTTCGCTAGTGCGAGTTTAATAGAGGATTGGACGTCCAAAATTTGGTGTCAAAATAGTTTATAGAAAAAAAATAAAAAATAAAATAGTGTAGAAAGGACATTGTGATTGGGGCAATCTTAACCTTCTGTTCAGAATGGACGGTTGGATAAGGGGAAGTATATAAGTTTTATGTTGTAGGGGAACTATAGAAAGCTTGCCTTTTACTATTTATTATAGTTTAGTTGTTTTGGGTAGGTAATCAAGTCTATTTTTTTTGTAATTTTCAAATGTCTGAAACAGTTAACTTCATCAATAAATAAATAAATAAATTTCAAATGTCTGAATCTGGTTCACATTGTTTGCTCTTCCATACTTGTTGTGGACCAAACATCTTAATTTACTTGTACCCAAACATTTGTTTTTCATGGAGAAGTTAGCATTATTGAAAATTACTGAAGTACAAATGAGAAGGTCATTGCACGATGCCTAGGTGGCATCTCTCCAACATAGGCCTAGTCCTGGGTAAGAAATAATGCATCATGGTTGACACTACTATTTGCCAATGCACCTGCATCGCTATTGGCATCTCGGTATAAATGACAAAATACAAACCTTTCTGGTCCTACATAGACCCGAAATCTCCACAAAATCATAGCTAAACGCCAAGGTGGAAGGCCAACTCCTCATGAACGTCTGATGACATGTCTTTGTAATGTAGGTCCCACCCAATCAACAGTGTGGTGACCAGTTGCTGGCATAGGCCAAATAAATGGAGGTACAAAGCCTAAACCTTAGGGGCTACCTGACAATGGATAGATGGTCGACTGATTTGGTTTCATCATTGGCACATGATGCACATATATTGGGGGGAGCAATTCCCTATAGGATGAATATATTGGGGATACCAAACATTCTTTTACTATGTTGGTAATATCACTGCATCTGGTTAACATTTCATAGCCCATTTCTTTATAAATGCAGGGTTATTTGCGTCCTTGAAATTTGTTGCTTCTTTATGGACTATGGAGAGCTTTTCTTTCTTGAATGTGATTTGTTACTTCTGTATGGAGGGTTTCTCTTTTTGCTTTTTCAGTGGAGGCTTTTCTGCTTCTATTCACTCTGATTTCATATGAAAATTAATTATTGTAAGTATTATCATTCCTCCAAGTTGTCCTGATGATACACCAGTAATTTTCATGATTGCTTGGCTTTAGAAACTTGCAAATATTTTAATGCATCTTCATACACCTTTTGTTAAACATTACTGATCTTCTCAATCTCATTGATGTTAGTATCAGTTTAAAAGAAATCATCTATGTGAATCAGGAGAGGCCTCACTGATGATCTTGGCGTTGAGGCAATGATGTTTGAAGCTCTGGAGAAAGTTGAGAAAGAGATTAAAAAGCCGCTCATGAGGAATGACAAGAAAGGCATGGCTCTTCTTCATGCTGAGTTTGACAAGATAAACAAGAAGTAAGTTTTTTCCCCTGCCTTGGAGCTTTTTAGTGGTATTTTATTTTCCTAAATCACCTATTTATCAGTTTACCAAGTGTATTTTAATTGATCGATCATGACTACATGATAATTATTATTGCTCAATGCAATTATTTCAAAAATCTACTCTACTCGTGTAGTAGCATGAGACACATTATTACAGGATTACAAGTAAAATTTACATAAGCTCCGTCCACTTTTCTGACATCGAAGTGTGGATTCATTTGGCCAATTAGATGATGCATTGCTTCGAAAAACCATTCTTTACCTTGTTGTGCCGCATCCTGATAAAATTGGAGCAGTTGAGGCTAAAGTTTTCTTACGAGCCAGAGCTCCAACAAGATTTTTTGTGCTTCAAAGGTCCATGATCGAAGGTGACTTCGACTGACCAAATCATGTGTCCTATTTTCTGCAGCACATTGTACCTTTACTTTACACCTTTCCTACTGCCTTATTTCTCGTCTCCTCTTATTCTACTCCTCATGGTTGTTCCCTTGCCCCCTTCTGCCCCCTTGCGCCCCCGGGGACCCCCATCTTCTTCTCTTCCTCAATTAAGAAGGTTGCATTAACAACGTATTGATGACTCACAACCTTTGAATATTACCATATGCTCCATTGTCCCTAGTTTTTTCAACTTTATTCTTTACCACATGCTGCCTCACTGTTGAGGCGTTAAGGCCTCGATTGTGACACTTATTGACAAATCTTTGCCCTTCATCATTGTCTGGGCAAAAAACAACAAATTCTATCAAGACTGGGCTGCCCTTCTCCGTCTCAATCCCCACCAGATTCGTCGATCTTCCCTGTGGAGGTCACCAGAAGAAGGCCAAATCAAGCTCAATTTTGATGGTTGTTCCTTCGGCAACCCTGATCCCGTGGGAATAGGTGGCCTCTATGGTGATCCTACAGGCACGACCCTCTTCTCCTTTTCACGCTTTATTGGTGAAATCCCAGTTCAACATGGCAGAAGCTAAAGCCTTACTTGAAGGCCTCAGAAATTTTAACCCCCTGTGAAATTCCAACATAGTGATTGAGAGTGATTCTAGTAATGTCATTTCTTGGGCCTCCAAAGCCTCACCCTGTCGGTGGATATTGGAGCACATTTGTGATGAAATCTTCCACATATTCAGGGATCTCACCATCTCCTGGCGACACATCTGGAGGGAGCAAATACAGCTGCTGACTTCCTTGCTAGGGAGGGTGCCTTCCAATTGGGTGCACCATAGGGGATTTTTTGTCACCTTAGAGACTGCCATTTTAGTTTGTTTATATAGAGCTCAATCTTCAATTGTATAGCATTTTTTGAATCCCTTTAGGGGATTGATACCATTTTTTGCACCCCTCGGGTTTTTGTACTTGGAACCTTTCTGTGGGTTCTTTTTTTTACTCATACTCATACCAATGTACCTTTCCTTTCTAGCAATATAACAATTAACATTCTCAAAAAAATATTGGTTGGTGTCTTGTAACAAATCTCACACTCACCCTTATCATCCTCTAAGATGGAATTGATTTTTTTTTTTTGAAGGAAAGGTTAACTAAGATGGAATTGATATTCTCATTGCACAATTCATTTATATGTTGAAAGGTCAGAGCTATAGTTACCCGAATTTCGTACCAAGGTCGCAATTCCAGTTTAGAATCGTGATTCCGCGTTTCCTAGGATGAAACACGAATCTCGAAGATAGGAATTACGTTTTCGAGTTTCATGGAATGCTTTCCAGATTATTATCTGAATCTCGATTCTTGGAAGGTTGGAATCTAGATTCCATATCATAGAATATGCGATTCATAGTTGCACAACAATGCAATTCAACGTGTGTGAGACGTTGATTCCAATATTTTAGGAATTGCAAATCCATGTTGTTTGGAAGCAAGTCCCACATCATCAAAAGGCGCAGTTCTTAGATGCATCGAACAATGCTTCGATCAACATCGAATCAAGTTTTAATAACACGAAATCAAGATTCAAACGCAAATGTTGAATGAAATACGTTCATAAATTGTATGTTGCAAGAGTAGCTCCATGAACCCATTATATGTTAGCGGAGGAGTTCCAGGAACGCTTTCGTTTCATGTTGCTATTTTGTACAAGGTTAAATACCCAATATTTGGGTTTCAAGACTGTGACGTTGTGAGAACCAAAATGCCTTAATAAACTTTCGAGATGAATCCATGTACGATAATCTTTGCCAAGTTATCCAACAGATGGATTTTTAAATCACGAAGTGGGTGACAGTCCCAACTTAAGGTAAGACCTTTGGGTGGTAACCCCACCTCAAGGTAAGATGTTCATATAGGATGCTTACATTAACTAAATGCTTATTATTAATCATTTACTGTACCAAGTACTGGATTATGTGGGGCATGTTTGGTTGGTGATCAATAAAATGCTTATTAATGATCATCTACGGGGCTAAGTAAAATGCTTATCATTCATTGTCTCATTGTATATATGGTGGGGCATCAACTTAAACCCCGAAAAGAACAAAAAGAAAAAAAAAAAAGAAGGAAATGGGTTAATGCTGATCGAAAATCATGGCCACTTGCGGTCTTTGGATTTTGAGGAAAATGCAGTATCTTGGTCTTTAAAGCTATGGTATCATCCATAGTATCTATAGTTGGGTTGAGCTATGATATCATCTATATCTGTCCCCAATCATCTATGTAAAACTTGAAATCTTTTCTCACAAAATACCTCTCTTCTATACTAGAGGGGATGGGTGCACAATTCCCGAATTGTGGGAATCTATTCCCAATCAATGGGGACAATGATTCCAGTAATGTAGAAATCATGATTCCTAGTTCGTCGGATCGCGATTCTAGAAGTCATTGAATTATGTGGGGTCATATGCAAGTCCCCAAAGGTGGGAGACTCGATTCCAACATGATGGGATACATGGTTCCTATTTTATTGGATCGCAATTCCGATTATTAGGTGTGTTTTTCATTTTATGGACAATGATTCCGAGATTAGGAATCATTTGACACATGTGATTCCATGATTTTGATTCCTAAAACGAATCGGAATCATAGACGTTTCCAACAACTATAGTCAAGGCCTAATTGAAAATCTGAAATTTTGATCCTGTTTTCTGTATGAACAAATATAGAAGACCTAAGTATTGGTACAATCAGAGAGCAGACAGGATCCAAGAATCTAGATACATTTTATCTTGAAACGTCTACTGCTTGTGCTTGAAATTAATTATTATAGTTGGAAAAATCACTCTCATTATTTTCTGATTGGCTGTTAAGGGAATCTGGGGTCAAAATTCTGTGATATTTCATGACTAATGAGAGAAAATGTATGTAATATCTCATTCTGCTTACTTTTGTTAATTGTGTTGTTTTTGGATTTGAATCAGGCTTGGAATAAGGAAGGAGGATCTTCCCAAGTATGAAGAACAGTTGGAACTCAAAATCGCAAAAGCACAGCTTGAAGAGCTGAAGAAGGAAACTCTGGAAGCCATGAAAACACAGAAAAGAAGGTTCGTGCAATCCTTTTTGTGCTTGATATGATGTTAGTCACAGTAGGAAGCAAGCTATTCAATAAAATCACATTGACAGTTATTTATATCAAGGGCTTAGTTTGGCGACTAAAACTGAAATTCAGATATGAATTAGAAAGAAATGAAGATGGCATATGGGATTTATTAGTTGAAATATTTCTTATTCTTATTTCAGTGAGGAGTTCAAGAACGACGAAATTGTGGACCCGAAACAATTGGACATCAGAAACTTCCTCTGAGATTTCACTTGTTTTGAGCAAGCATTTCATGTGCAGGTCACTCTTATAACTACTGCTTTCCTGATTCAGAAGCTTTACTTGATAAGGAGCAGGAGAGTGCACTCAACCTGATTACTTTTTAAATAAATCTGGTGCTTAAAAGCCTCAGATGGATCGTATGCGGCTTCTTGATCATTTTGAAATTCATAGAATTATTTCTGTTTTCAAAGGGCATCTCTGGTTTGGGCCTGAATCTTTTTGAAATTTTACTGTTGTTGGTTTCTGGCTATAGTTTTTCTTTTATCCCATTGATGCAAAACTTGTGTGAAGAAACCCCATTTGTTTTGGAAGCCTTGAGAAATTCGAGTTCTCTCAAACTTCTGCAAGTCTCATTTGGAATCTACATGGTATAGATGAGTGGGGGAGCTTATTCATCCTTGGAACTTGTGCGACGTACTAACTGCTTTTGTGTGCGTGTGTATGCGTTCGTGAGAGAGAGAGAGAGAGAGAGGAGAGAGAGAGAGGGGGGAGGACGATTTGGAGAGGAGGAATTTGGAGATGCTGCTTGGACATATATGATGCTTTTGTATTGTGTTTTGAGTTTTGATTGGGGTCGCCTTACTGATCCAATTTCAGTTTGTATTGGACCCAACATGGGTTTCTACGAGAGGTGTGCATTTCAGGGGTGGCAATCGGTTTAGGGCAACCTGAATTGGGTCCGGGTCCAAGATTTGGACACAGCAGATTGAGTTTGGGTTCAGATCCTGCTTGGACCCCCTATCAAGTCAGGTCGGGGGTGGGCCCGACCTTGATTCAATGTCACCCAGCCGACCTGGTATAATATATTTTAAAAAATCATAAAATACAAAATACAAATTTTTTTTTTTTTTTAATTTTTTTTGAAATTTGGTTGGATCTAGGTCCGGGTCTATGTCAGCCAACCTAATTCATTGAGACCCCAGTGCAATTGGGGTGGATCCCTCGAAAAAATAATTTTGGGTCTAAGATTTGGATCCAGCAGATTTTGAGTCTCGGTCCAAATGACTTGGACTCGATTGGGTTTGGGTTTGGGTCCAGGTCCGGCTTGGACCCTCTATCAGGTCGGGTAGGGCGGGCCCAACCGTGACTTGATATCACATGACCCAACTGGATCTGGTATAAAATATATTTAAAAAGATCATAAAATACAAAAATCAAAATTTTGTTTTTAATTTCTAAACTTGGGGACTGACTCGTTGACACCCAAATGCAAAAATATAACCATAATTGATTTTGGGAAAATTATATAAATATTTATTTATTTTTTATTATTATCAAAATACCTAAAACTTTTTATTATTATTCATGCCTGTCTTTTTTACTTCATAACATTTTTTTTTTTAAAAAAAGACCGAAGTGCTTATTTTCGGTTTTTCAAAAACAGAAATGGGTTCGAATTTGGTTTTTGAAAAACCGAATATCGGGCTTCTCTTTCTCGTTTCATCCTTGATTTTGGGGTTTTGGTTTTTAAGAAGGCGCAACGTTGGTTTTAGTGATCCTTTGTGTTCCAATTATACTCTTACTCTATCCCCTTCCTCTTTGATGATTCTCTCTCCTTCAGTGAGCCCTATTAGTTTCTAGTGGTCATGGGTCTCTCACAAGAATGTTCAAACCTTGCCCAACTAAAAGTCTGATTAATTGTTCAAAACCCAAACATGCCCAACTAGATCTCTCTCTTAAGTTGATATGAAATGCTCAAAACACAAAGAAGCCTATATAAAAAGCCAAGCCTAACATCCACTGCATTCATAGTGGGTTGCCACTCCATAGAGACCAAAAAACACAACAATAGTTACACTGGTTCGGAGGATCTCTCTCTACTCCCTATCTCTTCTCTCTTCTAAGGTTGATCGATACCATCTGGTTTGCCATCGACCCAACCAGCTCTGATAAACCTTATCGTTACAATGGCTTGATCCAAGTATCACCACAAAGAAACCCTGTAAAAATTGCATCATTTTGTTGCCTTGATATTCGATTTTCCAAAACCCCAAAATCGAAGATGAAACGAGAGAGAATGTAGAAACTTGCGTGTGATGCAGGCCATGATATTGGGTTTTTCAAAAACCGAATTTGAGCCTATTTCGGTTTTTGAAAAATCGAAAATGGGCAATTCGGTCTGTTTTTAAAAAAAATCGTTATGAAGTCCAAAAAATAGACATATGAGTAATAACATAAAGTTTTAGGTATTTTGGTAATAGAGGAAAATAAAACGGATATTTATGTAATATTCCCTTTTATTATATAATTTTTAAAATGTAATTTCCATTAAAATTCTTTAAAAAAGAAGAAGAAGACAGGGTATCACGTGACATACTTAGAAAGAGAGATACAAGAGAAATTCTCAAAATCAATTCAAACGCTTGAAATTTGAAACCAATGTTTCTACACAAATGAGGGTTTTTTTTTTTTTCGTTTTTGGTTTTTATTTTGATGACCAATGGTTCTATAAAAATTGGAAAACAGAGTTAGGAAAAAATAATATTGCAATTCATACTCTAAGTAATTCTACTAACTGAGATCAATTTAGAGGAAAAAGATGACATAAATTGGACTTCAAAGTTATGAGATTTGGAAAAGAATGTGGTCTTACCAACAATATGGACATGAATCAAGGAACTATTTGCAATAGACATAGGTTTGATTTTCATTATTTTTGAGGTTGGATAGACATTGTAATTTACCAGTCATAGGATCTGCGGCCCTGAGTCTATTATTCAAAAAAAAATGTCACAAGAAGACATGGAAGTATAATGACTACGTGTGTTTAGGAATGAATAAGAAAGATCATGTGTGGAGGAAGAACCAATGATTGCTGATAATGATCACAGTTGCAATGATGATTATTACGACCCCTTACACCATCATGATAATTGTTTGGGCCTCTACCTTCACCATTGTTTTGAGGCTTTTTTGTGTTTCATATTTCCCATTATTAGCAACAAGGGAAGATTTCTCAATATTTTCTTTAGAGGTTTTAAAATTAAGATTTATGATTTTTTTCCTAATTATGTGTCTAAGTTTAGATTTTTAAAAAAGAGAACGAGAAACAGCTTTCGACTAAACAAGATAATTAAGTCTACTCAAAGGAACATTAGTAAATTTAATGCTGAAGTTATTTTCTGAATCTGCTAAAACAAGAAGTCTAACCTGATTAGAAGGAATGGTATCGAGAAGTGCAAGAAGAAACTCTCTAAGTTAATTGTCCCCGATGTTAAGATGTGATGCAAATATCACTCTTATGGTATTTCTCTTTGTTAAAGGGCATTTTTTTGTTTGAGAAAAGAGAAAAGTGCAGAGAAGCTTTGGGAGGTAGAGATTAGGGATTTCTTGTAGAGAAGAGTGTAGCGAAACGACAGTGTCAGCTGGTGGAGATAAAACAATGATTCGATTGATTGTGAGATTTTGGTAGGAAATTTCTATTGAGCTTTCTTTTCATGTATGAGGCAATCTCTACAGAACCATAATATTGTAAATTTCATCATTGAGATAATAAATGCATCTTTGCTCTCTTGCCCTTGGATGTAACCCATTTTGGGTGAACCATGTTAATCCGTGTGTCTTCAATTTTTTGCTTGTGTTGTGGCTATAATGATTTCTCTTATTACTTGTTTCTTGATTTTATAATCGTCCCAAATATATTGTATACACAATATTGTTCTTGGGGGATTTTATTTGGATTGTTGGATTCAATGTTGTGGGGTGCTAACCATATCAAGTAGGGATTTGTGTTACCCCAATTTGCCAACAAGGGATAATTGAGATAGACTCGATTACCAACAAGTGATATCAGAGCTCAAGGTAGTGGTGTAATATTTTTGGAAAAATGACATCTCACAAGTTTGAAGTGGAAACGTTTAACAGGAAAGATAGTTTTAAAATTTGGAAATTAACAATGCAATATGTATTGGTACATCAAGAGCAACACAAGGCACTATTTAGAAAAGAGAAGAAATCAGTAAATATGACCAATGATGATTGAGAAGAACTTGATATGAAGGCACGGGCCACTATTTGCTTGTGTTTATAGCGAATGAAGTGTTGTTTAATATTGTTGGGGAAAAGATGACAAAGATTTGTGGGAGAAATTGAAAAGTTGATATAAAACAAAATCTTTCACAAACTGAAATTTCTTAAAAATGAAGTTATATTCCTTGATAATGAAAGACGGTGCAAAGGTGTCGGAACACTTGAATGAATTAAATACTATCATTTGTCAACTTGAAAGTATTGGTGTGAGAATGGAGGATGAAGATAAGGCGGTCACCTTACTTTGTACATTGTCGAAATCATATGATAACCTTGTTGCTATATTGAGTTGTCATAAAGAAGATTCTCTTGATTTGGGTTCGGTTTCTAGTGCACTGCTTGCCCATGAAATTCAAAAGAAGTTAACGATGGATGATTCGATGGGTTCTAAGATGGATGTCCTTGTGGCAAGAGGCTGGTCGGATGAACAGGTTGGTTCATCAAGAGATCCTTTAAGTAGCCGATTAAATTTGAGGGGGCCTTATGACAAAGGATGTTGGTTTTGTGGTAAGCTTGGCCACATAAATAAAATTTGTGCAAAGAAAAAGGAAAAATTCATCGAAGTATTTCGGTTTGGGAATGGAAGGCAAAGGTGAGGCCAACAATGAGACTCACCAAGTTGAAGAATTAGCATCCGGTTATGTTGAAGTTAGGGTGTTGCTAGTGGTATCTAATCCCATGTACTATCAAAGTTGAATACTTGATTGTGGAGCCACACATCATATGTTCCCGCATAGATCGACGTTTAATGCATATGTTCCCACATAGATCGACGTTTAATGCATATGAGCCATGTGAAGGAGGTTTAACATCAATGGAGGAGACGATCGGAATGGGCACAATTCGCATAAGGATGTATGATGGGATGGTTCAGACACTTGAAAGAGTAAGGCATGTGCTGGATTTGAAGAAGAGCTTGATTTCATTATCTTCTCTAAATATAAAAGGCTACAAATTTACAAGGCAAAATGGAGTGCTCAAAGTTTCAAAGGGGACCCTAATTATGATCCAGGGAGTTCGAGAAAAAAACTTGTAGAAATTATTAGTGAGTACAATTATGAGTTAAAGGGTAAATTTGATTGTAGAGAAAGATGAAGCTCAAAAGGAGGGACATGGTTTGGAACTTGAATGTCTTAGTGGTATGAAGCAATATCTTGATGAAGCTATTCAGTTAAGGTGGAGAAATTGAAGATTTGGGACTTTCACAAGGATATGTGAAGCCGGAAACACCACATGAGTTTCCTTTGGGCCAATGTTCAAATTTTGGTGAAGGAATGACCGATTTGATTGGAGTGTTGCATTTGGTTATTGCCATGATATCTAT